TGAAAAATTTTTTTCATTGTAAACTACACCTTTTAACCTTTTCTTGTTTTTCGGCAACATTAAACGAAAATTTATCCCCAATATCATCCTCAATTATTGTAAATATTCTATGCGATGGTTCACTTAAAATTAAAAAAAAATTTCAATTAAAAATTTTTGTTACATTTTTGATTGTTTATTAAGATCATCTACTAATTTATCTTCTTCTTTCTCATTTTTATCATTCTCATTAATTTCATTATCTTTATTTTCTTCAATTATGTTAATTATTGCTCCCTCAACTGTTTCAATCTAATTGTAGGTAAAAAAATGTTTTAATTTTAAAGATAAATTTATTAATTTATTCTGAATTTTAAGAAAATTAACGGTTTAGAGCTTCCTTTTGTTACTTTCCGATAAAAAATTCCGTCTTTATAGGGCAAATAAAAAATTAAGGTTTCTATTTGATAGCTTAGTTGATAATCCTTGATAATAATAACAGCATTCTATTACCAGAGTAAATAGCTATTTCTCTCCTTTAGCTAGTGCAAAAGGTTAATCGGCGGCTAGGAGCGAACCAGCATCTTCCGTAGACCGGACTGATGTGTTATCCATTACACAACGCCGCCTACTGTACAGCTTTAGGAATTAAATAGCTATATGCTTTACACCAGAAAGAATACTCAATTATGTGAGTAATTACACAGCATTAGGGATTTTGCTTCTTCTCCCCCCTTTTTTTACCTTAAACCAAATTCAAAATTATTTTGTGACATCAATATAATTTATGTAACTATGGTCAACACCAAGAAGATATAAGAATTATTTAAATTAATTTTTAAACTCATAAAATAATTTATCAATCAAAAAACCTTTGTTGGTTTAGGTATAACCTCCAACCATTTAATTATTCTTTTTTCCATTAATTTTCCCTTTCTTTTACAATTTCCATCTTCCTCTAATAAATTTTCTTTTTGTTTATTTTCTTTAAAAAAATAATAAATTAATTTGTAAAAATAAAAACAAAACTAAGAAATTCATCAAAATCTAATGCAGATGTTGAAGAAGAATGTCCAATAAAATATAATTCAACACTTTTTAAATTTTATTTTTTATTTAACTAAAACTTTTTTTTCTTACCAAAAATTTATTTGTTTTAAATCTCCATAAATATTATAAAATTTGGACATTTTTTTTTGATTTTAAATATAAGAAATAATTATAATAAAATTAAAAATTTAGATGAAAATTTTATTTATAAATTTGGTTGTCATAGAAACATTAATAGACTATAGAACATAAAAATAGAAGAAAAGTGACCGTTTTTAATTTTGTGATGTTTGCCTACCTATGTATATTAACGAATAAATACTTTTTAAACTCGAGATTAAGAGAGAACAATAACTTTGAATTTTCCAACAATTCTTGTTGAAATTAAATTTTAAAATGTTTGGAAAATATTATCACTAATATAATAGAACATTTTTCCGGAAAGTTAAAATAGGCAATTTTAGGCAACGATAAAAATAGTCTGAAAGCATATTTTATAAAAATATCGCCTGATTTGGACGTTTTAGCATCAGGCCTATTTAGGAAAAAACAGGCATTTTGCCTTAAATCCTAGCCCTAATTATCAGTCAACTCTGAATATGAACACATTTTATACATTTATAACCACAATTATACAATAAAATATCAAGAGAATAATCACAACAAAACTAATTAGGCAAATAACAAATATATATTCCTTAACAAAATCACAACTAATTATCTATTTTAGCACGCCATGCTAAATCATCAATACCTTTGGTTACATCGTGGCAGCTTGATTTGAACGAGGAAACATCCTTAAAAAATAATTTTTAATTTAAATCCAAAATTCCTCATTACTTTCTGAGAAGTATGCCCTCCAGTACAGCAAACAATAATCCCTTTCCCATCATCATTTACATAAAATATGCCATTCAAGAACTCGACGAAGCATCTGTTTTGTGTGCTTGGAAGAAAGCGTCCTGCCCAAGTATCCCGAAGTTTGTCTTTACGAGTGATTGGGTCCATTCCTTGGTTAAACGATATCTGCCCTTCTCCCTCATATTCTGGCTGGCAATGTTGAGACTTGCCAGCATCCCTTCTCTTCCCAATATAGCAGGCTCGAACTGCTCTCAATGCTTGATTGATCCGCCCTTTTCCTTTGGTTCGCTCTAGAAGATGAGGAATGTCGTAAATACATCCAGTCTGAAATTAAAAAGGATTTACAGCTAAAGCAGTTAATTTTTAATCTACCAGGTAAAGCAACACCCCTCTTCTTTTATTCCCAATGAGAAATGAAGGAAAATCCCAACCAAGATTCTTCTGTTCATAGATGAAGAAGCATCCTAAAAACAAAAGTTGTACTCGTTAAAATTTTAAATATTCCTCACCAGGCTCTGTACAATTCTTTTTATTTTTCCCATCTCCTCGCTCTCCAATATTGTCGTAAAGTCTTGTGGTGATAGGGCATTCACTAATATTTTTGGTATTGGCTCCATCCACTTTGTTTGTTGTGCTATGGCTTTCTAAAGGCACTGGATCTGTCCCATTTGTTGGAGGAGGAGAGGGCGGCGGATTGTCGACCGTGGATGTAGGTTTCGTAATGTTCGTCGCTGTTGATGTTGTCGTTGCTGTGTCGTTTTGGGCTGTATTGACTCCGAGAATCGCCACCATTGAGATAAACGCAAGGATCACTTTCATATTTTTTGAAGAAAATTGAAATGTAGAGAAGATTTGAATAATGTTGAAGAGGATTAGATGTTGAAGTGATTTAGTGCTTTTATACTCATAGAGTTCAGCGGTATCGGGATTTTGCCATAAAATCGGGATAGGGATTTTGAAATACTGTTCCTGATACAGGTCCAGACTACGGGATCGGGATTGGAAATCGGGGTGGGATTTACTAAAAAAATTTTTCAAAATTTTAAAGTTTTATAAATAAATCATCTTTATTAAAATAATAAATGACTATTTTTCATTATTTTTTTATTAAGAAAATTTTATTTCAATTTTTGTTATTTTACTGACAGGTAGGGTTGCCAGCTCGCTCGAACCAAATTCGGAAGATCGAGCGAGCCGAGGCTTTTCAGTTCTAAAAGCTCGAAAACGAACCGACTCGGAAAAACCCAAGCTTGAAAAAATGCACCGAACGTCGGCTCGTACCGAAAACGGCAACCCTAATGACAAGGTTTATTTCTACAGTTTTAATTTCAAAAAATAATTTTCATCCAAATATTTTAACGTTTTAATTAATATTTTTCAAGTAAAATTTCTGTCAAAATTTACACAATTTTTAATTATTTTCCTAGTTTTTATTGTTTGTTTTAACAACAGCAGCAACTAGTAATTATAACTATAAACATCTGTACATATATTTTTAAATTCATCTTATTTAATATTTTTATTTTTCCCCCTTTCCTTTTCTCGCATTTACTAAAAATGTTTGTCTCATCATTTTGGTGGTCGGCGGTTAGTATTTGACATTGGACACATTTTAAGAAAAAAATTTTTTGGGGGTGCTAATCCCTTCTCAAAGATGGAAGCAATTCCAAAATCTAATAAATATTTAAAATAAATTCTCTTTTTTTGTGAACTTGCAAAAAATTTTGTTTTTTTCTTTTTTGCTTTTTTTTTATTATTTTAAATATGTATACTATTTTTTGATTAAAAAAATTAATTCCAAAATATAATAAATTTTAAATCTAATAAAATTTTTTGAGGGTGCTAATTAAGGTTGTCGGATAGTTGGAAATCTTCGGATATCCGGATCCGGTATCCGAACTGAAATTTTCGGATATTCGGATCCGACAACCTTAGTGCTAATAGTTTTAAATAAAATTATTTTCAATTTACTCTTTAAGTTTAATCAAATTAAATATAAATTAGCAGTTCTCTTTGTTTTTCTTCAAATTCTTTTTTTAATTAACCTTCAATAAAAATAAATATAATTTGGAATTTATTTAAAAACAATTAATTATTCTAAAAATATTTAAATATTAATATATGTAATTACAAGGTTCAAAACAACATTTGGCCTCTTTTACAGATTTAAAAACATTTCTTCTTTCTTTTCTTACCCAAAATATTCTCTTCTCTTTCCTCATTTAACTGGCATAATAATCCATTATTATTTATTATTTATTAACTCTCTCGATCACTTCTTTTATTTAAAGGCCAACTGGTTCTCCTCTCTCTCAAATATTTGGCAATTGCTTTTAATATTTTTTATAGAAGGGAAGGGGGGATATTTGATATTTTTAAAAGATTTATTTCTTCCAATAAACAAACTAAATACTTCATCACCTTTTTTACTTAAAACCGATTTTTCATTAATCCATAATCAATTAAAAAATATTTGATAGATTTACTTTATTGAGGGAAAGGAATTTATTTTTTTTCAAAGTTAGTTAATCAAAAGGAAAAAATTGTTTTTATTTTTTTGTGTTATTAAAAGGATTTTATTAAATATAAAGGGGAATCTTTTAATAAAAATATGCCTATCTAAAAAATATTAATCTTATTTTTTAATAAAATATTTAAGTTTCTCTTCGTCTTTTTTTCTTCGTCTTCTTCAGAATTGTGAAAATATACCCAAAAAATTTATAAAAAACTCTTACTTTCGAAAATTTCATTATTTATAATTAAAATATATTTAAAATAGCAATTAGTTAGCGTTTTCACCGGCCCGACCGAGTATTTTTCGGGCTTCATTTTTCCGGGCGGGCATCGAATCTTTTTTTTCAAATCTTTTTTTTCATCAAATCTTTTCGGCATCTTCTTCGGCCAAAATCCGATGCCCGACTCGATCTTTCGGACCGGACCGGGCCGGCAACCCTAATAGCAATACATATTTAAATCTAATAAAATTAATTTTTGTCAAATCCTTAATATTCTTCATTATCATACCATAAAACTATAACTAATGTTCTCTCTCAAAACCATATCATAATTTACCTAATTTAATTTTTTTAAATATAATTTGAATTTAGTTTATGCCATCCATTCACAATAACAATTTAAATATTCGAAGAATTTTTATATTTTTACAATTGAGATTATTTCAATTATTATTTATTGTGAATATTAGCCTATTTATATTACAAACACCTTTAATTTTGTCATCAATTAATGAAAAAATAAAAAATAAAAATCAACAATTAATTAACAACAAAGAAAATAATATTTTTATTAATTTTACAAAAAATAAAAATAAATTTAGTAGAAGTGTTAGATTATTAGATAAAAATGAAAGGGAAATTAAAAAATATCCTCTAATTGTTGGGGCTGGTGAAAAATTAAATGTACCAATTAAAGGAGGAACAGTGCCCATCGAATGGTTTAATCTTCGGATTGTTGATCCACAAAGATTTGGTAGAAGATTGGGGGATTTACGTTTTGAGGTTAATTATTAATTTAATTTGTATACAAATTGGGATTTGATGGAAAAGTTATTTTGAAATTTATTGAGGTATTTTTTGGTTTCAAAGAACTGTTTTTGAAAAATTTTAATTCCTAAAGGCTGAGCAGTAATGGCTAATGGTGTAATGGCTAACACATCAGTCCGGTCTACTGAAGATGCTGGTTCGCTCCCAGCCGCCGAATAACCTTTTGCACTAGCTAAAGGAGAGAAATAGCTATAGCCCAGCTGCGTTGCTGTTCTAATCATAGATAACCTTGAGATAATTTTTGTGTGTTTTGGTATTAGAGATATTATAGAAATAGAGAGGTACTTTTAATGGGAAAGAATCATTTCTCGTGGATATCCCTTCACCTTTTCACAAAAACTAATAAAAGATTTATTTAGGTATTAAAGAATCCGAAACATGGTAAATTACAATTTTTGGACAATACAAATCTAGATGTTAGTAGTAACAGCAATAGTCGAGAAAATTCTATATCTTCCTTCTTTTATGCTGATATTTTGAATAAAAAAGTTTTATATAAACATTTTGGTGATTCTACAAAAAATGATAAATTCAAACTTGGAGTTTGTTTTTAAACAAAAAAATTCAAAAAATTGTTTTTATTAAAAGGTTGATACTCGAAGATTTTCTCGTCGTGCAGGTGGTGGAGGGAGGTTGTCTAAAACAGAAAATGGGAATTGGGTTACTTCAAATTCTGAACAATTTGATTTGGAAGTAAATGTTGAACAACAAAATGAAAATATTAATGGGGGGAGAGGAACTCCAAAAATTTTAATTGAACCAATTGGGGAGGCTATTCATTTAAATATTGGGAAAAGGTAATTATTTAATTTAAAATGAATTATCCATGAAGTAAAACCATAGTTCACTCCTAAACGAATCTTAAGATCCAAATCCTCGGTACCAAATCCTCGTCCCAAAAATTAATCAATTTTCAAACAATAATTCATTGAGCGCAGAATAGAACTTAATATAAATAAAAGCAAAATTCAATTTTTAAATATTATGTAAAGACAATAAATAAATAAAATCATTTTTAAGAAATATTACGACAAATTTAGTTTGAGAAAAATATTTTTAAGTATCAACTAGAACCCGACGGTACCATGACCGTGTTTGGGTGAATGTTGAAGAAATAAGTAGTAACTCGCTTGATTCCATGAAGTAAAACCTTAGCTCACTCCTAAACGAATCTTAAGAGGACTGGTACCAAATCCTATTTGATCAAAATACAGGTAAATTATTTAGTGACTGAGAGGGAATAAGGGATATTGGAAGGAATTTGGATAAATGTCTGCCACCTAATTTAATTCTCTCAAAAATTCCAAAATTTTTCAGACTTCAACTTGGCCCTCAACATTTACGTATTTATGACCCAGATACACCAAATGACCGTGTTTGGGTGAATGTTGAGGAAATAAGTAGTAACTCGCTTGATTTAATTGACAAATTAGGTGCTCGTTTAAGACGGTTTTCACTTGCTGGATTTCTCAAAGAAAATGTTCATTTAATTGCTTTAGAAAATTATGAGGAAGAAAATGAAGATGATAAAAATGAAAAAGAGAAAAATGAAGGATTTATAACATTTTTAAGTTTTTAAAATTAAATTTTTTTAAATTAGTTTTTTGGAGTGAATATAATTTTTAAAATTAAAATTATTTTAGGTAGCTAGAGATGATTTTGGTGCATCAGAGCCGGCAACAATTCATGTTTTGTTTGTTCCTTTAAAAGTCATATTTGATCAAAATACAGGCATTCGCATGATACACCATTCAAGGTGAATTGTAATTATTTAATTTAAAAAATAATCAAAATATTTTTATTTACATAAAACTTTTAAATAAACTAACAAAAAATATAAAGTTAAGATGAGGAGTGAGTAACAGTTATGGGCTGCTTTCCCTCCGACTTCCGTTCCGCTTCCTTATTTCCGCTTACGCATCTTTGGCCTCCCGCGGGTTTTACCACTAATGCCGGTCATTATTTCTTAAGAAAATTAGTAAGAGCCTCTAAGAGCTTATTGACCTTTTAAAATTCCCCTTGTACCCCTCCCAATCGACTGATATCCTCTTAATTCTCCGTTAATAATTCCAATACATTTATGTATTTCACTTCCGGAAAGACACAAAGACAAATAGTAAACATGATTATCGAAATAATTTTGTTACTTCCAGAAATAAATTAAAGTGAATTAAAATATTACTCCGGAACATTTCCTAAAATTTACCTGAATATGTACATATGTATATTGTGCAAAATATTTACATAAACATTGAATTCATTTAATCAAATAATTTGTTACAAACAAACTTTTCTCTTTTTATTTCCATTAATTTACAAACAAAATCTATTTAATATTTTCACCTCTGTTTTTAGAAACCTAAAAACAGAGGTGACCTTATAATTATGGAACACCTTAAATTTATTTTTTTGGTCATAAAAAATTTTTTAAGGTAGCTACAAATTTGATTTTTTAAAGACAGATTTTAAATAGAAAGATATAAATTATGTAAAAATTTCAAAAAATTTCGATGCTTTTTCAATGAGATATGATAAAAAATAGGGGTGACCTTATAATTTTGGAACAGAGTGTATGTATGTAAATATACGATTTTGATTGTTAATTTACCCATTACCTTTCATTCAAATTTGTAAATTACATACTATATCAAAACTAGACATCTGCATGAACATGGATTTTAATATCCATTTCCGGATATATATATTCATGAAGTAAAACTTCATTCAATTCTAAACAAATCTTAAGAGGATTGGTACCAAATCCTCGTCCCAAAAATTACATAATCAAAACGAAAATGAAAATCTTGAATACGGAAAATGGAATTTAATATTAATAAAGGCTAAATTCAATTTTTAAATATTATGTAAAAGCGAAAAATAAAATTTTTTTTACAAAATTTTACAACAAATTTAGTTTCAGAAAATTATTTTAAAATAACAACTAAAGCCCGGACGGGACCATACTACCGACTATCTTTTTCGATATCGATATTCCATGCCGTAATACAGTACGAAATTTTCATAAGGAAACGAAACGAAATAAATCAGAATTATGTATCTCTAAAATTTTAATATGTACAAGAAAAGAAGTTTCTCAGTTGTACATTGTGAAAATGCATCAAATATTTTATCAAATCCAAATACTAGCCTCCAAATCTCTAATATCCTTTTAAATCCCCTGATTGAAGGGATATTTGATCCTCCTTGATCCCCAAATCCTCTGATATCCATTATTTATGAGTTAAGAAAGATATATGATGATCCACTAATTCTTTCCATCTTCCCTCCCTCTCCTGTATATTTAACAATTTCCAAAATTTAATTAATTAATTTATTTATAGCCATTCAATAGAACCAACACAACTTCATTCTCATTGCACTTCAGACTTTTCACTTTCCTGGATTCCTAGTGCTCGTTATTCTATAGTTGATCAACCCAATTTTGGTGTTGTTGAATGTTTAAGAGAAGATATAGAGAATAAACAAATAAATAAAAATAAAAAATGGATAGTTTGTTCAACTTTCACTCAAAACGAAATTAATTCACTTAAAGTTCGTTATAGACATACAAAAAATTCAAATATTCCTTTACCCCCAAGAACTGATGATTTTGATTTTCAAGTATTAAATATTCAATTTTAAAAATTTATATAATTAATTTAAAGGTTTATTGTTCAGACACAGCTTCCCTAGTTCAAGTTTTACAAATTGGTTAGGGGTTCTTTTAAAAATTAAAAAATAATTTCCTTTTAAAGATTTTATCACACTTAGTATTCGTGTTTTTGTTCAAGAACAATTAACATTAAACCAAACAGATCAAGCACAAATTGGAAGGAGGAATATGTTGGCAACTGTGTTTCCTCAACAATTTAGTTCTGACCAATTATATTTTCATATTCTTGAAGCCCCTAAATTGGGAATGCTTTTAAGATTAGTACAAGAAACAGGACGTCATAGACGTGTTGGTGTTTCTTCAAATATTACTCAACAAGTAATTTTAAAAAATTATATGTAAAATATCACTTTTTTTCTAGCAAATTGATGAAGGACTTTTCTTTTACAAATTACACTTTGCCCCATTCTCTGTACTTAATGACTTTTTTACTTTTCGGCTTCTAACACCTGCTGGTGCTTCAGAAGAAATTTTTAGATTTGATATTGTTTATTTACCTGGAGGTGGTATTGGTGATATTAGATTACGAAATAATACTTTAATTGTTGAAGAAGGTGGAATACAAGGGGTATGTAAATTCAGATGGATCTTTCTATCAGATAAGGCCAATACTAGATACCAGAGGTGAGTCGGAATTCCGACTTCTGATTTCCGACGTTTTTCTCCTCCGATTTCCGAAAAAATTTTGATTTCCGAGTTCCGACTTTTGAGTCAGTTCCGACTCCCGGCTCTTCCGATTTCCGACACCTCTGACTGTTCCGACCCACCTCTACTAGATACTCCTAATTTAAGATATGGCTTAAAATTTGGAAGGCCAATGAGCTAGGGAGTAGACATACCCCTTATTTGAGATACACCTTATCATAAGATACATACAATCAGCTCTAATATAAGGGTTAACTTATAGCAAGATTTGACGTTTTTATGTAAATAAGAAAAATGTTTTAAAATAAAATTAGATAACAAATGGCACTCTTTGGTTAGAAGCAGCAGATGGTAGTAGAAGATTTACTTTTCGTGTTATTCTCCCTCCAATGAATGGAATTTTGTTTTTATTAGATAAAAATGGAAATAAAGAAAAGAAAATTTTGGATTTTGATGACAATTTCCATTCTGATAATATTTTGGAAAATAAATTATTTTATGAACATTTTGGTGATAAATCTAGTTGGGATAGATTGTTTCTTTTGGCAGAAAGTGAAATGCGTGATCCTGGTGGAGGTAAAGGACATACACCTGTGCCTTTCTTTCTATCTATAGCAATTGTTGGAAAAAATACTAAACAACCTCAATTATTACAAAAAATGTATGGTGGAAATAATATAGAAATTAAGGTAAATATTTTAAAATTTCCAAAAATAATAAAAAACAACACCTACCTAAAGACATTTAAATTCTAACATGAACTACTTATGAAAAACTAAAATTTTTGAACATTCTACCAGGCAGGCCTATTTAGGAGGATTGGTACCAAATCCTCGTCCCAAAAATTCAAAACGTTAAAAAATTTTGATTTGTACATATAGAGATCGAATTTGATATATGTAAATAAAGTTTAATTCAATTTTTAAATATTATGTACAAAATTTTTACGACAAATGGTTTCAGACAAATATTTTTAAGTAAAAAAAGTATTTTTAAGTAACAATACATATGTATATTAAAGTATTTCTAGGATATTTTTATAGAAAAAACATCTTTTTGCGTCTAAAAATATATCCGATATGTATTAAATATCTTTCCTATTGCAAAGAAGATTATTCGAACGTATATTTAATGAACGGACGGATATCCGGGATTTGGAGCATCGTATCCATCCGTGTTTGTCCGATCTAAAAAATATCTATAGCCTTCCGCATTCGGGAATATCCGCATGTATCCGGATATTATCAGTATGTAAGGATGATACATCCAGCAGCATTTAAAACGCTTAGGCGGGGGTTAACGATCTAAAAAGGAAAAAGCTGCTTTACTGCTTTACTGTTTTAATATTAAAAAATTTTTTTTCAGAATTTATTTTTATTGGAAAATAGTGAAAGAACTTTATTGCCATCAATTGTTCAGTTAATTGATTTAGATAATTCAATTGAATGGCCTTCAAGTTTAGAAAATTACAAACAATTCCCAATTGCCCATTCAACAAATTCTTTAAATTTTAATGTTGTCCCCGAACCTTCAAATTCAAGAGATTTTGTTATTTGTGCTAAAGGAGCACCAGAAATGCCTTTACGGGAATTTGATGAAAATATGTTGAAGGGAGGACATTTAATTGTTAGACATGTTGGGAGTGCTATTAATGGGACGATACTTAGGTAATAAAGTTTACTTTTTTCAATAAAACTTGTTAATGTATCAGAATTAAGAAATTAATTGTATGCCCGGTCATTCTATTTCTCAACCACCTTCCAAAGGGGCTTATTAGAGAGGGCATTCAAATGGAGGGGGCATTATATTTTTCAATCAGCCTCTAGAGGAACCAATTGAATTCTATTATAGGAGGTTCTATTATAGGGGGCATTTAAATGGAGCGGGGCATTCAATTTGAGGTAATACGGTAAATATAATACGGTAAATATTATACTAACCTTTAAAGGAAACTCTTGAAATCTTATCTAGGAGAAATTAATTTTTTTTATTAAATATCTACCAAATAATTCACCATCAATAAATTTAAAAATTAAAGATTAACGGCCACAGATGGTTTACACACCAAGACTTTGCCCATTTCAATATTTGCAGTTCCAAAACCTTTTTTAAGACTTTCTACTTATAATAAAATTTATTTTAATACAAATTTTAATGAAAGAAAAGAATCTTCTTTATTTTTATTTGTCTCGATTTTGCATTTATTTGCAGAAACAAATTTGGATATTTTTGATTATCAAATAATATTTCAAGTAAATTCTTGAGCATTTTAAATTCAAAAAAATATAAAAAAATTTTAAGGTACAAACAATTTTGCCAAATCTATCTCCTTTTCGTTTGCTTCTTGAAAATGGAACTTTTGTTAAAACTCTTGAATTTACTCAAAAAGTAATTTTTTATTTTTAAGAAATTTAATTTAAACCATCTTTGGTGGAATTTATTATTCTTCCTTACTCCTAAATTATCCTCTTAAATCTCTCCAAGTTGAAGTAAAAGGGAAATTATTTAATAGGATATATGCCCAGAGCTTTTGTTGATAATAATGAGAACCTAATTTTTTCAAATTCGATTCCAAGAATTATTATTACCGTATATCCTTTAATAATTACCTTGGGTAATTATTGTTTCGACCTTCCGCTGGAGGGAGTAATTAAATGAGGGAGAGTAATTATACGAGGTTTGAAATTTGAACGTTTTAGGGTATCTTCGGGGGTAATTATTGTTTCAATATATCGCTGGAGGGGGTAATTAATAAAAGTGGGATAATTATTTGAGGGAGGGCAATTAATACAGGTTATACGGTATTTATTTAACAATTACCTAATCTACTTTTTAATTTCTGCAGGACATCCTTCAAAATCGTTTATTTTTTGTTTTCAATAAAAATACATTTAAACAACAAAATTATTCACAAATAATTTTCTTAAAACTTTTTACAACACAAAATGAATATAAAAATAAATTAAATGAAGAAATTATTTTGGAAATTATTTTAAATAATTTTTCTAATTTTTCTTTAACAATTCCTTTAAAAATTAAAGAAAAAGGAATTTATGTACAGAAGGGGGCAAGTTCTCCAATTGATGAACAAATTATAAATATTTTGACAAAAAATGATGATGATCTTTATATTAAATATTTTATTGTAAAGCCACCAATTTATGGCGATATTATTTTTCAAAGGAAAAGAAATCAAATGAATGGTTTGTTTTTTAACTGATTTTTTGTTTAAAGTTTATTTTTAAAAATTTTAAATTCTAAATAAAATATATTAGGTATTACTTTGATAATTTTACCTTATTTAATAGTTGTTTAAACTAGGGTAGGACTCCAATCCTTCGGGATCGGTAGTGCCGGATTCGGCCGGGAGGGCATGTCGAGGTTCGAGGTTGGGTTTGACTTTTGTGTCGTGAGTGGCAGTATTTTTACTAATATTTAAAAAGAAATTTAAGAGTTTAAAAGCTAAATTAGGAAGCTTAAACTTCCATCGCACGGTTTTGTGCGCGGAGTTGAGTATCAATATCCGAATATATCCGTAAGGTTCGTATTTCACTCGTAACCGGAGCTTGACTTATGAGGATTGATATCAAATCCTCGTCCCAAAAATTAAGTTTTGACTTATCATCTATTAATTTAGCATGCAAACTAGAATTTGATATAAATAAAAGTTAAATTCAATTTTTAAATATTATGTAAAACGAAAAATAAATATAATCATTTTTACGATTTTTTACAACAAATTTAGTTACAAAAAATATTTTCGGTTAACAATTAGAGCCGGAACGGTGCCGTACTACTGACATATTTTCGGTATTTATCGATATTCCATACCGTAGTACGGTACGGAATACGGTAGGAAGAATAGATCAGGCTAAAATTTTAAATTTTTATACATGGATAATATGTCGCTTACCACTTAATATAGTTTAATTTTTGAGATTTATTAGGCCCCATTATTATTATAATTAGTAAAAATTAAGTAAAATATTATTAAAAGTATAAATTTTAAAAAAATTAAAATTAAATAAACTCTTAAAATTAATTTCCATTTCCTTCAATAGATTTATTAAAAACAACATCATCATCATCAGTATCTCCCCAATCAATTTCTATAATTAATAATTTGCCTCTTTTAAGTTTTGATCAAAAAATATTAAAAACAAATTCATTACTTTATTTAAATAAACAAAAAGAAAAAGATAATATTTTAATTAAAATAATTATTCAATCAAAACAAAACAAACAAATTTTTATTGAAATTGGCCCTATAAATATACCAATTAATTTAATTAATTATATTGAAGAAAAGAAGGAAATTGAAGAAAATTTGGATTTTAATAATGAATATTTGGGTAGATTTTTTTGGAGAGAATATATTTTTTAAAAAATATTTTTCTAAAGGTAAACAATTGGATTTAAAAAGAAATAAACCAATAATTCTTGATAATACATTTAACGAAACTTTTGTTTATTTAACAACAGAATATCTTCAAATTGAGGTGAATTAAACAGATCTTTATTTTTTAAATATTTTTTAAAAATATTTTTATAAATCTAAATACAAGCCAGATACATTTTTGAAAAATATATATTATTTTATTTTAAAAAATACTCTAGAAAAAATATACCTATAGAGATCAAGACTCTAGTGTACTCAATCGACATATACCTAAAGTCATATGTATTTTCATGAGTAGAGTAACTTACTCTGTGCTCTCTAACTTTTCTTTTTAAAAATTAAATTCTAAATTAAACTTTTAAATTATTTGAATTAATAATTAGAGTAATTCTTTAAAATGTAAAAAAACCAAATTGTGGATATTATTTAATTGCAATTAAATAAAATTAAAATTAATTTCTAATATTTTTTAATTTTAATTAAATTCCTAATTTCAATCTGTTTAAAGAGTTCAAATCTTACAACAAACAAAATTCAATTCCTTGTTTGGCATCCAAAAGGGGGTGTTATTCAATATTTAAATAATAATGAAGTAATTAATAATGCTAAAACAATTATTAATTTTACTCTAGAAGATATATATAAAGGAAAAATTATTTTCAATTTCAACAATATTTTACATCAGAATTCTGATAAAGAAGGAAACGTAAGGAATTAAATTTTAAATAATTTTTAATAAAATAATTTTAAATAAACTCAAAAACAGAAAAAGCATTAAGCTAATAATTTAATTATTTTTCTATTCAAATCCATATCACATTCACTTTTCTGGGAGTAGGCAACCATAGAGCCTTATTTAGAATTAATAATATGCTTACAAGAGAAACTCCTCCCAAAATTTAAGTCAAAGCTTAGAGCTATTATTAATATCATGCATCAAAAATTTACTATAGAAAATTTTTGGCTTTTTGGCCGAAATTATGAAAAATTAAGAACATTTATTTGGTCATAAATTTATTAAATTTGCCTAATTAAGAAAGAAATTGCCGGTTTTTATTTTCTCTATTCTGATGGAATTATTCAAAATAATGTAGAATGGTTTTCGATTCAACAAAAAACAAAAAATATCGAAGAAAATAATAAATTCGAAAGTAAAATCCCAACAAAATTAGAAAATTTTGAATTAGAAAGAAATTTAATTTTAAAGACAACACCCGGTTTTCCTGCAATTATTGGGGAAGAAATACTTAAAGTAGCAGGAAATATTGTGAATAAATACATAAATTATTAATTTAAATTTTTAAAATTAATTTTAAAGGATTCTAATCAAGTAATCTATCGTTTGACTACACCTCC